TCCTCTGGCACAGTCCTGCTCTCAGTTATCCTGTTCATATTTACATCTGTGGGACCTGCCAGTTATGTCTTTATATCTTTATGCAAAGAGACACCTTATTATTGATGATATTTAATCCAATCCACGATGCACCTGAGCTGGATGCTGTGAGTAGCTGCTGACTTTTAAATATCATAGGTAGGATCAAGGCTTAGACTGCACAAAGGATGATGAAATACTTGTGAACCTGGAGAAACCCCAGAAAGCCACCCCTGGACATTGTGAAAACCATCTTCAGCAGATGCTGAAAATTATGTGTAATAGCTCTTATGAGTCAAGAATCCTGATAGTGTGGGATCCTTCTGGCAGCTGCTGCTGCTGTTACCTTAGAATAGCTTGTGTATGCCTAGCCAGAAACTATGGGAAATACAGGCCCCTCATTTAGGGGGAAAACGTGCTAATAATAGGCCCTGAAAAGAAAGATGAATTACAAAATATTGCTGCACTCTTTCCACAAAATACCAAGGGATGAGCAACATAATACTGACATAAGCTAAATCTATCCAAGTAAAATGGACCTCATGAAATTTTGTCCAAGGTACCTGAGGAAAATAATCTGAGGACTTCTGGGTGATAAGTAAGGGTTTGGAGGACTTTGATACAACAAATGCCTTTTTATAAAGGGGAGAATGAAGGGGAAGTGTCAGATTTTCCAAACCTACAGGAAGATACCTAAATAAGTGTGTTTAGGAGATTCTGGGAGAGCATTTCTCTTCTAGATATTTATTTCCAAAGAAGTGGAGCACTGAAAAGCTACTCTTCTGCTTACAGACATTGATTATCAGTAGTTTCCTCTTCCAAATGCAGTATGTGGACTATTTCTTTTTTTCAGCAAAGGTGTTTTTTATTTTCTCTGATGATTATTTCTTCTTTTCTTTAACAGAAGTACTGCTGACACCAGAACCACATCTTCAAGCGAGAAAGGCTGTATTACTGATGCACTAGTGTTGGAAAGGAAGATGACTCAGACTGGGCTTGCAGAAGTTACTTCATTCAGAGGAAAAAAATAAGCCAAAAAAAAAAAACCTATCCCAAGGAAAAAAAAAAATTAGTAGAAGAAGTCTCTGTATTACTGTATATTGTGGAGTACAAAAAAAGTTTGTTAATATTTTTGGCGCTCTTCCTCTAGAACTGTGAATTTGGTAATGGCATTTTAGTAGATTGGATGGGTAGGCTCCTGGTGTACCTGATCTGTTTACTGTATCCAAAGCCCTTCAACTACAGGCAGACAAAAGTGCCTGGAGAAGTCACAGTGGTAAGAATTTTTGATTTCTCTAGTAACAGTATCTGACAGAGAATGTAGTCTTAGCCTTGACTCTTTTATATTAACTCCTGAATATAAATGCTGCTTTTAGTCTCTTACCCCCAAGAGTCAGGGATTTCCCAAGCAAAGTAGCAGTGCAAAATGAATTGGCACACTCTAGTCCAAAATCCTGTCCATTGAAGCCAAGGGTTAAAAAGAGAGGATAAACAGTTTAAATTATTTAAACACAGTTGTGACTAATATTTACATATTGCTGTGCAGCTGAGTGCACTTTATAGAAGACTATATAATGGATTAATGCAATATCTTTGATAAGGACTTAATATGAAGGTAGGGGTGTACTCATGTTCCTTCTCAAACACAATCTCTTAAGAATTATTTGAAAAGACTGCATAATGTAATGTGTTCTGTGTATGGAAATTAGAGCAATAATCTTTCATCTTTTTTGAAAATAACTTCAGAAAAGGCAAGGCACTGCAGTCAGAATCAGAATTTTGCAGTCTTTTTGTGAATAAATTTTGTAAATATGATCTTTAAGATAATGTATTATATATATGACTTTTGTAGGTCACTAACTCATTTTTGCAGAGTTTGTGAAGCTAAATATTTAACAAAATTGATTTCTGTAAACTCAGTGTAGTTGAGGTCCAAATAGAATTTTTCTTTAATTAGATTTAATGACTTTAAAGCTGGGTGACTTTGGCCCACATATTTCTCTTTTTTGGTCTTCAACACTTCATTTATTTTTACATCTTTTACATATAGCTTTTTATAAAAAAGACCGGTTGTAAAATGCTTTCTCCACCTGTGAGCACTTTTGTTACACGTCTTTTTTTTACAGAAGGCAGTTTGACACAAAGGCTCTGCATTGTGAGATGTCCCAGCCTGTCAGGACAGTCGTGTCTTTCTGTAATAGGTCACCTTTTCAGCTGATGAATCTGGATTGTGTCTTTCTTGGTCAATTTTAACGAGCTCTAAATGTTATCTTTGGAAATGTTCGTCTGTTGCAAAATATTCGTTGTTACATGACATCCAGAAATCTTTTAAGGATATTAAGCCACACTTTAACCAAATGTCTGCACCTCCATTGGATTGTTCTAATAGGAAGGAATGTATTTTCTAAGCAGGTTTCTCTGATATCAGTATTTAAGTCTGGTTACATATTATTTGCTGGTAACGTGGGGGTTTTTCCCCTCCATTTTGGGGCCTTGGAATGAAGATCCCTTTGCAGTTTTTAAAGTTACAACAAGTCAAACCTCTAAACTTCCATAAGTGATGACCCAGAAATGTTTCAGATGTGTGGTGCTCCTGTTCTGTTGTTCACTGTGTAATGGAAGACTGATTTCTCCCCAGTGAGTACAAAAAAACCAACCCTGATCTGTGTTCTTTATTGCTTGTTCTTGGTATGTTAGCAAGAGGTGGTTTTATTGTTCACAATATTCAGTGATCTTCCATTTTAATAGAAATAACTCTAAACAGAAATAGTCTCAAAACATTCATCCTTAGCATCCAGCCAGTTGTATTCCAAAGGGAATGTAGATCAGTCAATCTCTGCCATTAGCACTGAGTAAACAGATTAGCATTTATTTGAAATCTTCTGTCCAATTCACGTGTGTTTTTTAATGCAAAACTTTTAAAAGCCTGAGGAACTTTTCTCTTTTTTTCTTTTTCCTTTTTTACATTTCTTAGAACATATCTATTTAAGTGCTGCCTACTGAAGCTGAAAGGCAACAATCCCATGCTTTTTATATCAGATCAGAGCAGAACAATCTTTATATTTTGTAGTTGTTCATTATATTGATGGAAACTACAAACCCTGGTTGCTTTCATTAGGTGAGCTCTTAGGACTATGGACTGCTTTATACATCCTGCCCTACAATTTTTGTAAAGTGATTCTGTTTGTACATCTATGTTTAACTGGTACCTGACTGATGTTTTAAGGATCATCATTTTCTCATCTGTGTTTAGATTGTACTTTTTTTTTTTTTTTTTGCTGAATCCAAAGATTTTTAGTTTAAACTTGATTAAGGGGGAGGGGGCATTTTTAAAAAGCATTGATGATGACATCTTTCTTGGCAGCACTAATCCTGCATAGGACATCTAGTTTGAAATCTGCTGACATTTAGTTATTGCCATCAGTTTTGCTTTGGTTCTGTGGCAGCAGATTTTTCTGAATGTTTTTAAAAAACAACCTGTATAACATTATTCAACAGTAAGAGATCAATTAGCTAGTACAGCCACCTCTGCTCACTGCTGCATAAATGTGTTGTTTTACTACATGTCTTTTGATCACAGAAATCATGTGGTTATTAATAAAACTCATGTGTAATACTTTTTTTTTCTTGGCCTAAAATACTGCTTTCAAAGTTAGGAAATCCAGACCACGTTTCAGTCACAAGACAAAACTTATTTGAATGTTGCACCAATTAGCACACCTTTTATTTTAGAATTTATGTGCAGACTACCAGATGACAGAATGATACAGCAAGTATGAAACCATGTAATTCTGAGAGCAATATTTAAAAAAAATTCTCAGGAGAAGGCATACAGTATTGAGAACTGCATTTAAGTTTAGTTTACATTGTAAGTATTGCTTGAAATATCTGTATCTTTATTTTGCAAAACAGAAAAATCACGGGGACTGATTTATAAAAGAGTTGGTTGTAAGGTATTACCGCCCTTCTGGCTTTTGTGTTTGGATGTTAATAATAATGTAAATAAAGGTTTCTATTTAAAATCAGAACTTGATTAGCTGTCTAATACTTTAAGGTTCATGACTGTATCCTGCAAAGGTCAGAGAAAAGTCGGTGCTGCCACTGAGGAACACTGGGCAGAGAATGGTTTCCATCTTCTCCTCACTGGCTGCAAAAGCTGAGGGAGCAACAACTGCGACCTTTCCCTGATGGGACCCATTTAGCATCGAGAGCACCCGGGATTTTGTCTTTGTCAACTCAAACTGCAGTTTGTACAAGAGCTGAAAGGTGAAGAGGTGGCAGCTTTCCCCCATTTGGCAACAACTTACCTTTCACGAAACAGCAGCTGCTTCTTGTGTCCCAACCAACCCCACAGCTCAGGGGTCTGTTTAAAGGAACAAGGTAAATTTTTTTTTCAACAGGAGCAGGAACACTGGGCCCTGCAGGATTTTCACCATCACACCCTCAGCTGGCCAAGGACTAAAGGCTGAACACACAAAAAAAAAGGTAAGTGCCAATTTTTTTACATCTAACCTCAGACTCTTTCTGGAAAGTTTAGCAGATAGCTAAAATTTTTCTCTGGGAAGCAGCAAAAACGTGTTTCATTTTTTTACTTATTTGTATTGATTCAGGATCTCATCATCTAGTAGATATTTCTAATAATCCATGAAAGCTGTAACAAGTTGCAAAGAAAATCTATGGCTAGATTAAGACAGACAATCATATTTTACTTCCATAATTAAAAAAAGCAAGAAAACTTTGGGAAGTATATTTGACTTACCACACGTAATACAAATACTCAAGCCCAGTCTTGCTGTATAGCACATTTACAAAGACTCCACTTCTGCTTTTTGAGCAGGTTTTTGTTTTATGAGGGGTTTTCTTTGTTTGTTTGTTTGTTTTTTCCTTAGTTCCTAAATCCAAGTCTATTTTTTGAGTAGGGGGGTGTGGTACCAGAGATCTACATGCCTGGGTATGATTCCACTTGATTTTCCTTATGTGCAAAACCAGGAAGGGTTCCAAAATAATTTCCATGCTGTATTTTTTCTTCTTTTTAAACTGCATTTCTAAAAGAGCAAGTTAAGTTTCTGTTTTAAAATAGAAAGTACCTCTTTGTTAGGAGTGAAGGCCACAGTTGGTCAAGTCCTGCCCCATGAGCACCCTCGGGCACGTGCCTTTAAAACAGGTAGCAGAGTAACATGGATTATAAATACAAATCTCACCACTAGTGCCTGTGCTACAATGGCCTGTACTACAATGTATTTAATAATGTCCTTATGAAAATACTCAAATAACTCTGTACACTGTGCTTCTTTAGTAAAATGATAGGGGTTTTTTTTTCCCTTTAAAAGCCTTTAAACAGTAACTGTCATTCAGAACTTTAACTTTTTTTGTAGACTAAACTATTAACTAGATTATTCTTTATTGACTACAAGTATTGAACTTCTCAGAGCTGCCTTTTTTCAAAAATAAATGTAGAAGTTACACTGCTGAGCAAATGCTGCTTTCTCAAAGGAGCTGTTTTGGTTTTGAACACACAACAGGCTATTACCACAAAAAAAAAAACTTCATACAAATCTGATTTTGTTAAAATTTGAGATGTACATTTACCGAAATTTTTCAGTACTTCTAAAAATGGATGAATTCTGACTGTCCTAAGCCACAGTAAGTAACATTTTGAGAAACGGGCCATGGGCATTACACTCTTTTTATTAACAAAATTCTTTACAACCTGAAGGAATTGCTTTGCAAACAGTATATTGAGCAATATTTTACACAACCCCTCCAAAAATCTGTTAGTGAAGATTTTCTCTAATCTTCGTAGAGGTGGCAGTAGGATGGACAAACAGATGGAACTAAAATGTATCCTCAGAGGAGACTGGAGAAATATCGTGGTGTTGAGAACACTCAGTGCTGCTCAAAGTTCTGTTCAACCACTGCCTTCACCCCAGTGAGAAGCAAAAGCATCCATGATTCTAAATCTTGCTTTAGAGTTATACTTGGCTTTGAAGTGTTTCTGTGACAACTGAAGAGAAGGTTGAACTGACAATGGTTTGGAGTTTCCCTCAGCTGTCTGTGTAAACGCTGCCGCTGGAATGGCTCTCTTTGGGATGGGGCTGTGCTTCCTCTTCTCTCAGCTGCTGGCTCAGCGTTACTTGTGTCTTCTTGGAAGTAAAATGCCTCGTGAAGCAGGTGAGGTATAATCCAAAGCAAAAAGCAGGTACAATAGTAGAGTTCAGAGACCTGTATTTCTGACAGCATTTCCCACAGTTTCACTGCATCTATTTAACTCACTCACCAGTGCAAACGTTCTACCTATTTCAGCCTCAAAGTTTATCCAGTCCTTCAGGCTAATGTTACAATTCATTTAGTCTGTACATGGATTCAAGTTCTGGCCAGTTTGTATCCTCATGGAGGTGCAGCAGTTGGGGAGATTAGCCCTCCCAGCCTTCCCACAGTTGTCCTCTTTAAAATAAAACAAACACAGTTTTAGTGTATAATATTCCAGTAGAAAGCAGTTAAATATTTTTAATGATTCCATGCAGTAAAAAAACAATGGAAACACTGTGCACCACCTATAAAACCATAGCAGGTGTATGACAGAAACAATCCAACTCTGTTTGAAACTTCTATCTGTACAAAGCTTGTTAATTCAAGCTTCATTCTGGTTCTAAAGCCAGTCTTAGATCTCTTCAACTAGAAATAACAACACTCTATTACATGAGCAAATCCTCTTGGGCAAGTGAGAAGGCCAGACTGTGTCTAGGAAGGGACTTGTGCATACTTTTTCCACTGCACAGTTTGAGAACACTTTATGATTTTTAATGAACAGAAATCTCTGCCTTCTTTTTAAGGGGAGATTCAGAGACAGCAACTTTTTAAGTACTTAAATTTGTATCTTGCCTTTGAGCTCTGGCAGGTTGAGAACTGAATATCATTGTCAAGTTTTAAAGAGCAGCTCAGTAAGAAAAAAAGCAGTCTTAGATAAGTCTACTTTCTGTTTTAACTTCCTTTTTTTGCTCACAACAGAAGGCTGTGGTCGGATAAAGAGCAAGAAAGTACAAGGTACTGTCTCTGCTCGTGAGAAATTAGTCGGTTTTGTTCTTTCTGGATTGGGTGAAAAACCACAAGGTAGCTGCTACTAATTTAAATTCAGGCAAAACCAACATACTGGTCTTTAAATTTAACTGGCAGTTGACCATAACTGGTTTCTTCAGCTGAGCATCCACCTTTACTCATTTGAAATTGCCTTGACCTTAACGCTGCTGGAGTCCCAGAAAACAGGGACCAAGAGGTTTTGTGCAGCAGTTGTCAGTAATGATGTGGAAATATCGTATTTCTTGCATAATTTAGAAGACTTCCCACTTAAGCACTCCATGAGAATAGATGATGATGTTATAAAAGGTGCTGCATGCAAAAAGAGAAGGAAAAAGCTAAAGCGCAAAAGCAAATGCTTTTGGTGAACTGCTCCCAACTCACAGTGACTTGGCAGATGATGGTCTCTTCACATCTGGCCATTTTCGACGCTGAAACTGCCTAATTTTCAAGCAGCAAAAGGAGAAACAAAGTTAACCATCACCAAGAAAACCACCAGCACTACAGTCTGAAAGATGAGGAAGGAGAAGAGTTCAGCCTGGATTTTGACTACCAAAGTTAGAACATGAAACAAAGAAGTTTCAAAGTGTTTCAAAGCAACTGGGGTGGAAAGCCCTTTCAAATGCCCTTCCAGGCCATGCCTGTCCATGTTTTTTCAGCATGGAAGTAGTATTTAAGAATAATAATATAACTTTTTTTTTTTTAAATGTACCTGTACTGCTCGTAGCTTCCATCTTTAAGTCCTAGGTGAAGAAAAATTAACAATGTTACCAGGGATTGCCTGTATCAGGTAAGACAATTTTAAAAAAGACTTAATAACAGATCACCCAATGGCCTGAGTAACCTGGCATGCCCTCACATCTGACCCTGCACAACTCCACAAGTCTCTTCCAACTTGAACTGGCCTACGAGCTTGATAGTGGCTATTAGGGTATTCTTTCCCTCTTTCACCAGTATCTTTCTTTCCTCATCATCCTCTGCATCTCTGTAACACTCATTACTAAGCTATTTAAATATCAATTTTAAAAACATTATATAACACAAACTGAACCCCTACAAAAATCTAAGCATGCAGTTACCAGCTCAGCAGGACATTACCAGTATTAAGAAATACTAAAATCCTTTTGGCTGATTCAAGTTTCACAACGGTAAGAGCAAGCCCCATTTCCTTTTTGGGGGGGTTGTGAGTGCAACAGGAGAGGCACTTACCTAGATCCATGTTCCTAGTTCTTGGATTGCATTGCTTATACCCTTTGCAGCTCCTGAGTTCCATGAGCTGGACGTGCAGTTGATTGAGAACCTCTCTGTCGAGCGTATTCACTGCATTAATTAGCTGCAATAAATAGGGGGTTCTTGTTAGTAACTATTGCTCTGTAGTTTGATGGCTTTCATATATGGAATACAGGTGGTTTATTTGTAACAGGAAAGAGCCAAATTATACTGGTTTAAGTGATAGAGGCCTTAAATTACATCCTGCAGCAATACTGGGCAATTTCAGTTGATCATTAATAAGGAAAAATGCTGTATTTCTTCAGCTGTGATCTTGATCTATGATCAGATACCTGATATGGATCGGTATTGAGATCAAAATACTCCAGAAATCCAGTAGCAAATTCACAGAACAGGAAGTTGTGGGTCTCGTTGATTGTCCTCAAACACCAGTACGTGTTGTTGTTGGCACTGGTACAGGCACAGAAAGGGCCCACTGCAAATGGAAGAGTTATAAAGGCATCAGCTACAGTCTTTAGCACTGCTAATTAGTTCTGTTTATAGCATTCCTTTATTCACAGAGGGTAACTCTCACTCCTGAGCTCTAAAGCAGAGAATGCCTTCCAGCATCAGCCTCTTGCTCTGTGCACACCTAACCCACACCACAGGGCTCATTAGAGCAACGTCTTGTCCAGTTGGGAAACACTCCAGGGGGTGAGATACCACACCCATCACTGTGCACTGTGCAGTGTCTGTTGGTTACCTGCAGTTGTTTTTACCTCCCTTGCCTTCTGTGCAGCACTGGAACAGATTCTTTCCTTTGGGGCAGCCTTGGCGACACAGGCACTGAAACCCCAAACTCGGAACCCAACAGCCCGGCCCGGTCTGGCCAGAACCCACCTCCCTGTTCCCGAGTTTCCAGTGTCCTTACGTGTCCAGAGGGGGGCAGTTTGCCAGTGCTGGTTGTCGTGGGTGAAGCAGGTGAGCCCGGGCATGCTGCACGTGTCGTTGTTTTTGATTCTCTTCAGCAGCTTGCGCAGCTTCTTCTTCCTCCTCTGCTCCCGCAGCAGCCACAGCCTGTCCTTCTCCTGGAGGGCTTTCCTGCACACACGAAACATCAGGGTCATGCAAACTCTGTTACACTTGAATGCACCTAAAAAACCCGAAATAGCTCGTAAAATAAGCTGCTCTGAGGGAAAGAATCAACATCTTTTTAATTAAATGGCTTCTCTTCCAGATGGAGATGACTCTGCAATTCAACAGCACTGGAAAATGAAAATGCAGCCAAAGGGGCTTACAGGGCTTGCCTGGGGTCTGTGATATGACATTTCCCAAAGCAGGAACCTTATCTCAGAATTTACTAGCATTAGTTCCTTGCCCAGTGTCTCTGTGTTTATGCTTTTTAATACAGGATAAATGAAGCACTAGTACTTTTGCTTAGTTTGTGTGGACCAGATGTTATAATGACTTGGCACCTCCTCTTTCAAAGGAACAGCCCTTCACTTACTTGAAAGGATGAAGACTGGATCCCTTGTGCCTCAGTTTGGTTTTATGTTTTGAATGATAACTGGAAAATAAAAACAGCATTGCTGGTGAACAAAGACAACTGCTCCTGTTTGTACCACACCATCAGACTGGGTTTGAAGCAGATTTAATCCAGTGTCACTTCTCCATATGTTAGTTTACAGTGAATAAAGAGCCTCACTCGACCCTTCCCAGCTCCCTGTGCCCCTTCCCAGCTCCCTGTGCCCCTTCCCAGCTCCCTGTGCCCTTCCCTCGGCTCCTCTGCCCACAGTGACCCCCGGTGTGCTCCCACCGCACTGCAGGATGAAGCCACGCACTGGTCCAGCTACACTTTACTAAGGTTTCAGTTGTAACTGCTTGTTTCCCTACAGGGGGCAGATAAAGCAAACAGATTGATAATTAAATTACACCATTTCTTCCGCTGGATATTCACCCATTTGTTCAGCTGATAAGATGACCAGCTTATACCACCTTCCTGTTATTTTCCTTCTGAATGGAAGAATTTCAATGCCAGCTGTACTGTAGGGTTGGGGAAGGGGGTTTCCTCCTTTGTTACTAGCTGGAAGTTCCAGGAAAGCTAACAAGATGGACTGAACTGTCCCAGCAAGAGCAGTGCCTAATATATTCTGAGATATAAGGGTGTAAGCAGACATACACACCCTTGCCTACTGCTTTGCCTCTGTCTCCAGAAACCCTTTCATGATTTTGCAGAAGTCTCCTTTCTGTGGAATTACCAAAGGTAAAAAGAGACAAAACAGCCTCAGCCAATGGAATATTTTCTGACTAATAAAGTTACTACCCAAAAAAATCAAACAGAAACAAAGTTTAATAAATGTTGTTGTTCTGAATTCAGTTAGTTAGCAGATTAAAATTCCCTTCAAAACAAATCTTTTTAATTCTTAATGCTATTGGGAGCTTTCCTAAATTTAATCCTTATAACAAATTAACAAAGCAAGATTAATAAAGAACTATCTCCTTCAGTTTTTTTTAACCTTGCACAGATTAACTAATTCTAAAGCAATGCAGTTCTGCAAACACATGAACATTTATAACTTGGATTATTAATTTCATTGATTTCAGTGGGATTAGTCATCTTAAAAATGCTGTGCACAAACAGAAGTGTAACCTATATTAGTCTGAAAAACTGGATCATCTTCAAGGTCCCTTTCAAACCTTCATGTTCTATGATTCTACGAACCTCCTTTCCATGTAATCAGTGGGCTGACCCTGTGGCCACTTTGCAAATGTTTGGCTATATAAGAACCAACTAGGCAGAGACCTTAACACCTGATCACTACTCCAGTGCCTGCTGCACTTAATGCACAAGTGATCTGGAGTAGGGAAAGAAAGATCTGTTGCCCTGAGCCAGTGGTGGTTACAAATACAGGTAACTCTGCACCAGCTGTTAAATTCCTGCTTCTCCCAACAGATGTAGCTGCTAAATAGTGCAGTGATTTCATCTTAGGAGATAATTCATCCAGCCTTGGAAAAAACTGATTTGTGTAACACTGCACCATAACCACAGTTTGCCCGTGTCAAAGCTGCCAGAAAGAACCCTGCAGCTTAAAATATTCATCTCTGATATTTAACAGCAGCATCCTCAGTACAAGAGCAGAACTAACTGGTTTACAAGCCACGTTACATCATCACCACTTGACACAGGCAATTAAACTCCTGCCTGGGAGAAGGTGTGTCATGCACTTGGGCAGCAGCCCAACTCCCCTGAAAGCACATTCAAGGGCAGAGTAAGCAGGCAACCACCAAACAAACCAGACCCTGATCCCTCCCGTGAGGAGATAAATCAGTTACAGTTTCACACTACAAATAATTATTCTGAAGTACACAAGAAATACCTTATCTTGTTACAATCACACTCCTCAGGTCGTTTCTTCTTTAGATGACCTCTCACCTCCCTCAGGTTTTTTATTTTATTTTGCAAGGTTTCAATCTAAGGAAGAAAAAAAAAAGTTAAAGATAGAAGTTAAAAAATACAGCATAATTTAGTCTTATTCTAACCTTCTCAAACCCATTCTGCTGTCACCAAATGCTTCCTCTTCACTACCTGCCATGACTCTCACCACTAACAAGTATTTTTGAGCTATCTGACTTTCCAGAAGGAAACTCCAGCAGGAGGAAGCCTTGCTGGTTTGCCTGCTCTCACTCTTGACTGTGATAGGGAATGGGGGCACACAGACACTTCTGCTTCCATTGGGATTTTTCCTCTTGGGCTCACATTTGCAAGGGGAGAAAGGTTGCTCCAAGGAAAAGGAAACCCTTAAGTTTCAGCCTGTTCTGACATCAGGAAGGGGATGGGGAGGGAGTGCTCTGAAATCCCTCTTGAGAGGCTCTGAAAGCAAGGCCCTGTTTGCATGGCAGGCTTTAGCAGTGTCTGCCCACGTGGCACAGCCACCAGCAGTCAACTGTGCCACCCACAGGGCTTTATTTTTAACTGCTTGGCTTTTTCACTAAATGAAACTCCTGCTTTTGTTCAGTCTGGTTATACACAGTGGGTATTGCAGTACCCTCAGTTGGGTATTGCAGGCCTCCACCTCAGTTCTCTACACAGCAGAAAAAGCAGTGTAATCCACTGTGAACAGTCTGCAGAACTACCACGAGCCATCAGGGACCAGAAGTCACTGATGTGGAAGCTCGTGGCTGTTGGAGCAGAGACAGGACAGGGTGTTCAAGGAAAATACACCAAGAATCCAGCCCTGTGACCCTAAATCAGGAGCACAACAGGACAGAGGCGAGCTCTCATGTCCTTTGACACTCCACACTGCCCAAGTTTTCTGAAATAAAAACAATCACCAGAGCGTGGTGAGATTGAAATTGCCCTTTTAAATCTTTGCAGACTAGTAAATTTTTCAGTATCTGCCTTCTGTGTCAACTGTACCATAAAAGGGGGCCAAGAAGTTCCTACACAGAACTTTGCTGTGAATTTATGTAATTTGGTAAGAGATTACAGGAGGTCTGTCCTTTCTGGCATTTGTTCCACCACTACCTGGTCCTTGGAAGAGGATCCCTAGACCCTCTTTTGTACACAACACATGTGAAAGGTTTGAGCTTACATTCTTAAATATTAGTGACAAAAATATCAGATGATGTTTTACGGGCCAATTTCATAGGGCAAATCATCTCCAGGTTCTTCATATACACAAGCCTATGAAAAAATTCAATTCCAAAGTGCAAGGGTTAAGAAAAGCACAAGCAAGCAAAAGAAATTAATCCCAGAAGCACCAAAC